CGGACTTATTCGGTGGTCCGCCACTGAAGTTCGGATGCCGGCGAACTTCTTCTTCCACCCCTCCTATGCCTGTCTCTTATACACATCTAGATGTGTATAAGAGACAGGGTCGAAGATGTAGAACTCGTCCGAGAGTTCCAACCACTGCTTGTCCTTAAGTTCTTGAAACAGAAGTTCAACAGTGGCTAAGATGGTCGGGTCGGCGGGTTGAAAGTTGGGACTCGAAGACCTCACTTTGTCGAGCACCGAAACCCTCGCGAGTTCCAGGTACTCCGCCTTCGACTGGCGTGGGTATGGGTCCCACAACCCTTGGTCGCGGATGAGCGCCATGATCCACTCGCCCTTTTGGATTGCCGGCTGGATAGTTCCCGGGTGCCATATCATGTCATGGCCCCAGTCCGCCTTGCTCGATCGAGTGTGGTCGAGCCCTTCGAAGTGAACCACATCATCCTTGTGAGAAGGATGATGCAGCGGAACCGAACTCCCGGGACGCAATGGAGGCAGGGCGGCAGCCCGAGGAGTCAGTCTCGCCACCAGCTTACTCGGGGTCTTGCCCGGGGTGATCGTGAGCACAGGCGACGCCTGGGTGGCCGGGCTTGTTGCGGGACCGGCCGACGAGGAGCCAGAGCCATGAAACAGCGAACCATGATGGTAATCGATATCGATGTCCTCACTGTCGCTGTCCTCCTCCGGCGTAGCGGTGTCGAAAACAATGCCTGTCTCCGCCTCATCCTCCGTGGAGATCAAGGAACCATAACTCTCGAGCTTCAGCGTCTGCTCGGACTCGACGAAGTACAAACATTCGAGCCGGTCGAGGAAGTTCTTTGCGTTCTTGCGTGAGGCGTCGTGGTAATTGTCCAGCAATGCCAACATGTGTTCCTTCCGGCGCATGTACTCAGCGTGGTTGTCCCTCCTTGGCCGAGTTTCCAAAAAGAGGAACTCGTAGATCCTTTTCCTCTTCCGCTCGCTCAACTTGAACCACATGTCCGTAGACGGTTCGCGAACGTGTGTTGATTTCTCTGTCCTCGAAATGAACTCGCAGCGGCTGGCTCTAGAGTTGACCTCGCTTTTAAGGGACTCCAACATGTATTGCAACAACTCAGAATTCCCTTCTAGCGCGACCACGTGTCGGCCGCTCTTCAAAACCTCCCACACCACTCGCGTGTGCGGCTTGCCGAGGAACATGATGCCCTCACCCTTTTTGCACACAAATTCCAGCAGATGGGCCAATTGTGTGGGGTTCCGCTCAGAGTCCATCTTGTAAACTTTCCTGTCAACTCCAGGCATGGCCGACGGCCACTCACAAGGGTCGAAGGGAGTCTCAGATATGTCTGTCGGGGTCACTTTCTGATGCACCCCGATAGTCGCAACGTCACCCGCTAACAACCTAGCATCGTAGACAACGCATGTATTCTCCCGCAAATCGTCGCCTTTAAAGAGAATGTACATGCAGTCGTCAGCCGAGTACAAGTTGTTCCCCATTGAGAAACTTTTCTTCTGTTGCGTCCTTCTGACCCACTTCCCTGCCATTGCCTTCACAACGGGTAGATGGCGCAGGCTGGTCATGAAGGCGTAGTCCCACTGCCGAGGGACGAAAGCGACGACCGTCCAGTGTGATGGAAACAATTGCTGTAGGAGGGAATTCAAACTCTCGAAAGCTTTCGGCGTCCACTGTTTGAAGTCCACCGGCTCGCACAGATCGAGAACGCACGTGTGGCATTTGGTGGTCCCAACCGCTTTCTCCAGCTCCGTCACCCTCAACTGCGCCTCCAGAGGGTCGACGCCGAACGAGGCAATCGATGTCACGTCCCCCGAGTCTTTCCATAGAACGTGCACCACACCTTCAGCAAGTGCGACCTCCATGCTCTTCGCCCGACTGCCGGTTAGCACTAAGAGGACCTTGTTCTTCCAGTCGGTTGACAACTTCTTGTTTTGGGCGAGTTTTTCCGTCGCCTTGATCGTTTTGTCGTCCTCGCACCCCATGTACGACGGGCAGTCCTTGAACAGTGAGGCGTCACCGACGAGCTTCCTGCTCCCGTCCCACAACGAGGCATCCATTCCTTGCTTCTCGAACGCAACCAAAATCGACTCCCGCTTCTTCAGGAAGGGATACGCACGTGTCCAGTCAGCAGTCGGCCGGTTCTCGTGCACAAACTGATAGTAATTCCACAACCGCACCAAGATGCGATCGCACTTGAGCAGGTGCACTGCTTCCTGCACTCCCAACTTGCCTTGCTTCGCCAACGATGCGGATCCTGTTTGCACCCACACAACCTCGCAGTTAAGGACCTTCTTGAGCAACCGACATTTCTCGTTGTCGGTAAGGGATTCCATGCTCTTCCAGCAGTGCGGATCCGGCTCGGTGACTTGGACAAACCAATCGCCAGGCTCTTTCTCCTTCTTTCCCTTCTTTTGGGGCGCCTCGACGGGGACGTTGTAGACAACCTCCTTTTGGCCCAACTTGTCGTTTTCGATGTGGCCAACGCCGGGCTTGACGCCCTTCACTTTCCTTTTCCTTGTGATCCACTTCGCCCCTCGGGTGCCAGAAGTCTCCGCGTCTCCCATTTCTCGAAAAATTCCATGCCCAGCTCCCACGTGCTTTTCCCAGCCATCACCAACGGAAAATAAGAGCGAAGGGCAGCGTTCTCCTTCTTAATACTCTCCTCCCCCTTCTCATTACCTAGAATCCACAGGTGGTTGTAAGGCGTTTTGCTCAGCGCCTGCGAACAGAACTCACGCCATGCCTTCACCTGTGCTTGTTTTCCGCTGGGGTTCCCCATAACAGCCTTTGGGAAACCCTTTTCCTTCCAGAACCACCGAATGTCCTTCATTGATAGTTTTAGCTGTCTAGGAGGCGCCTTCAAGTCCTTCATGTTGTCCTCCGAGCTGACCAGAAAATAACCATCGAACTCCTCGTCCGAGAAGTAAACCATATGTGCAGGCCACCTGTCGAAGTTGTACCTCAATGCGACATTCGATCCGAGCAGCGACTTGGCTGCAGCCGCGTTGTGCTGGCCGGAAACAGCGTAATAATTGTATTGGTCTGCGAGCTCGTCCTTCCAGTCCTCTGGTTTCAGACGGTCAGCCCGCACGCCCGGCTTCAGTTTTTCCATCCCTAGTGGTGCCAGCTTGAGGGTAGGCAACTCGTACGTCTTCTCGGCCTGCGAGAAAGCCGTCATCATCGCGTCAATGATGATCTGCGTGTGCACGAGATCCAACGACCTTTGGTTGTACGATGGTTCCCACTCACCTATGTCGACGACCTGCGATGGGCTAATGAAGAACTCCCGCTTCGTCCGCACACCGTCTTTCCATTCCAGGAAGTACGCGACGTTGACGTCGATGGGACCCTTCGCCTCGAGAGCACCTGGCTGAGGCTGTTTCTGCACCGACATCGGGCGTTTCCGACCCGATGTGCTCTCCTGCCCCTCAACTCCATTCCTTTCCCCCCCTGTTGTTTGGGGGGTCCTTGCCTTGTGTTTCTTTGTGGAACCCGCACCCTCTTCCGGAGGTCCTCCCCTCCTCTTATGTGCAGGCGTATGCACACCCTCATCTTCCCCCCCGGTTGACGTCGACGGTCGGTCGCGAACCGGGGTATGTCCTTCCACCCCGGGAATACTCAAGCCAGACCGGTCTCCCCGCCTAAGCGGCGAAGCCTGAGTCTGCTCCTGTTCTTCGTCGTCGCTATCGTCGAAGCGACCACGGGACTCGCCCCGACCGAAGTGCGAAGAAGGACCGGAACCCAAATCTCCCCCTTCCGTGGGAGCACCATTGGATTCGAACCCGGTGCACATCTGGAGAGGCATCGACAACTGTTGGTCACCATGAACGTCGCAGGGATCCTCCAGGTCGATGTTCCTCTGCTCCACCAAGTCCAAAAACTCCCGGGCCGAAACAAAACCTCCTACTGCAAGATCTTGGTAGAACGGGGTGTTCACAGCTCTAGCCCCAAACCCCTGGAACAAATCGAAAGACAAAACCGCCCCTTTGGAATTGGCCACAACGCCGCCCTTCGAACTGTAAACGGTGTGCAACTTATAATGCTGCGTGTTATCTTTTTTAGCTGGGTGCCATCCTGCCACCGCCCCGAGAACCCTACGCCTATTTTTGTCTTCGAGGAATATCACAGGACCGCACGGAGGTTTGGGCGGCTGGGACTCATCCCCGCAGCACCAATCGACGAACCATTTGGCATGCACATGATAGGACCACGATTTGGAGGTCCGCGATTCCCTCCCTGAGGTCCCGGTCGGCTGCTCTTCGCCCCTTGACGTCGACATTGTGTCTGCATCGATCCAAGACACGAAAACAACCGAACACACGGATAACATAAATCACCAACGCCAGCACAGAGGTCCGTTGTCCACAGACCTACATGCCGTAGCACATCAATGGTATCGGCATCCAAACTAACTTAGAGAAAAGACATTTGTAGAAGTTCGGATCTCGGCGAACTAAACAAATTTGCAAGCAATTGGCGAGGGCTGATAACAGAATGCGATGATGATAAACGTACTTACAAACTCGCACACCTGGTCCGCCGGTATCCGTACTTGTTTGTACCCAGCTTGAGCCTTCATGGGAAGTTCGGATGCCGGCGAACTTGTCGAATTCGTCGGGGAGCGTCAATGACGGAAAAGACCGTGACATCGCCAGACTCCGCCTCTCTGCCCCCCAGTCCCCGACTTAAGACCCCATACACCAGCCCCAGATGCGTTTCAGCAGTCCGCCTGTAACCGTACTTGTTCGAATCTTCTTCATCCGTCATGCGAAGTTCGGATGCCGGCGAACTTGTCGAATTCGTCGGGGAGCATCATGGACGGACAAGGCCGTGACATCACAAGACTCCGCCTCGCTGACCCGCAGTACCCAACGTAAAGCCCCATACGCTAGCCCCAGATACGTTTCAGCAGTCCGCCTGTATCCGTACTTGTTCGCATCCTTCTTCATCCTTCATGCGAAGTTCGGATGTCGGCGAACTTGTCGAATTCGTCGGGGAGCATCATAGACGGACAAGGCCGTGACAGCCACCGAACTCGCCCCAGTTGCGTTTCAGCATCGCGAACGACTGCCCGAACAACCGTTAACCTACGGGATCTGGAGGGGAGCTCTGTTTGTGGAGTGCGAAACTCTGCTCGAAACAGATCCAGATCCAACAAGAGGGCCCACCAAACTCGCCCAAGTTGCGTTTCAGCATCGCGAAC